CTCGTTTTCGGATCACCTCTTGAATAGCTTTCACGAAGAAAATGGTCGTATTTTTCTTCATAAACTTCTGCAACCATTTCATGACAGTTGTGGGCAGTAGTAGTGTTGCCAACTCTTGCACGATATTAGGCTCAAAGGTGTGGACAGCATTTGTCAAAAACGGATTATCAGGGTTGCCATATATATTAGTCTTAATAGCGAACGCACAGGTAGCTATCGCATCCATGGTATAGCTACCAAAGATTAGTTTCGCATCCATTTCCCTATTAGTGAGTGTCAGGCTTTCCAAGTGGTTCATCAGATCGCCGACACATTCCCGGATTTTTGGGTACATTTTGCGCATTTTGCCGGAACTGAAAGTTGGCGACACTATACTCCGGACCCGTTTCCAGTCATCGCCAGTCAAACGAAACAAATTACTTCTGTTTATGAAATCGTTTGCTTTTCTGGGGTTTGAGCGATCGGAGAATATGTGAAAATCTTTCACCAGGATGCTCTTGATTAGCTCAGGGTCGCCCACGGTCAGTATTGGGGTTTGACCAATATAATGCCTACAGATAATTATTTTCGTTTTTAGATAATAATAAAAATAATAATAAAATAAAAGTATTGTAGATGTTGCATTTAAATATGTTATTGTACAAAATTGCCTAATCATTCATGTTTACCAATATAATATTTTCTATTAAGTACTGGTATAGCTAGTTTAAACTAGTTAATCTATAATATTAATTTCAATTTAGATAATAAAATGCAATCTATAATAGACCAATATAATTACTAAATAAATTTAGTTACTAATAAACAATAAAGTTAATTATTTGTATTTATACAAATTATAATATAAAAATTTTATTAATTTAATTATCAAGTAAAATTATGTCGCATTTGAATTAAATAAGAATTTTTATTATCTCTATTTTAAAAATAAATAATTAATACCCGTATATTTTGCCATATTTTTGATACCAGTTTCGTTCCTGGATGAATTGAAAGTTAATTATCAGGTGCAGATAATTACCAAATATAGGTAGCGGTATGGGTCCATTAATGCCTTGCTTGCACCAGTAGCTAAACCCTCGGGTAAAATACCTAAAATTAATTAAATTAGATTAGTTATTACTTTTTATTATTAGTCACAGTATAGATTATTACACTTAATTTATGTTTACTATAACTAAAAACAATACTTACATATATAATTGTATTATTGATAATATTAACGCGAGGTAAAACAATTGCCAATATAACCCCATTTTGTAGATAAACATTGAAAATATTTTAGAAATAGGCAGTACAAGACTATACTCAATTGTGTTATATTATATTGATACTAGTTTTAGTATAATGTAGCCTCGTTGACTTTTAATAAAATCCGATTGGTTAATCATTAAGAATGTTTTGCGTTAGGAAATGTACCATGACAATCAAGTTTTATAATTCTGTTTAAAAATTTTATTTTTTAATGTCTGTTTAACTGGAAAGATGTTTCGCAAAAAGTTGTTATCACAATTTTTAATTAGAAATTTAAAGTTTTAGTTTAAAATGATTCATAAATGCGAGAAATATTTTAAGGGCAGAGTGTTACTCGGGTTACTTTGAGGACAGAATATTCTGTGAAATAAAATAACCCTGAACTAGCTTCAAAGTAAACTAATTTCACGGCCAGGTTTAATTATTAGAAAATTTAAAAATCTTAATTAATTTTATTTAAATAACATGTTTACAGAATTCACAGACACATGCATAAATCACATGCAATTCAGTAAATATTTATGATACAGTATGAATTGACAAATAGTTTCTAAATTATACCCAGGTATGATTTCAACAGAATTTATTTGCAAACCTTGCATTGAATTTGTAAATAAGCCCAGGACTTACTAAATCCTTGGAGTTAACTATAACTGCAATAAAACCTTCAAATAATTTACAGTACAGTATCAGTACATGTTTGAGAAAGCACTCAAACTTTTATAATTTGTATAAAACTCTAGGATAAATAATTTAATTTATTGATTAATGTACTCATTTTTATAAAATTATTGTAATATCCACCTACATATATCAAATAGATTAGGATATAATAAATTAACTTAACCGGAATACTACTAATTATACTTTAATAAGGTTGTATAAGCTAACAAGAGTAAAGTCATTCTAAGTTATATATTATTTTGAGCAGGATAATATTAAACATAAGAAATAAATTGCTTTTAATAAAACAATAAAATGTTAGTTTAATTATTTCATAAATTATATTGTGTAATTTAATAGCTAGAAAAAATGATTAAATAAATATCATGAATATAATAGATGTTTTAATACAATTTAATAATTACACAATAAATATTTTTGTAATAATATATTATTGAGAATGTCAACATGTTTTTGATTAATATTATATTTGATTTGCAAAATAAATAAACTTTTAATTTAATATGTAATAATATCAAAAGTTAATACTGTATATCTTTTGTTGAATATAACCTTGTTGTATGCTAAGTTATATTATATATTCTAAGATTTTTAATTGAAAATAAAATACTCATATAATTTACAAAGGTCACAATAATGGAACCTCACAATAGATTTAGTTTTATTCAATATTTAAATAATAATATACAGAATATTCTGGTAATAATGTTATGGTATTATCGTGTAATTGGTATTACATTTGGCGGACTAGCTATTGATAAATATGGCAAAATATATGTCAATAGAATTTTTAAATACCATGGCTACTTCATGATTGTTCTTGTATCTATTTTGCAATTTATATTTTTATCGCTGACAATGTTAAGGGCCCATGACAATTTTAATACACTTGCATTGTTATTAAACATATTATTTCTAACGATGGTTACTATACAACGCTACCAACGGGTCGCTATTATCTATACATTGAATAGAAACGGGTTTAAAATTGTCAACACTTTTATGAGCATGGTCTCGAAATTTGACCTAATTAAGCCTATTGTTACCAGGCGTATTATCGCTGCATTTAGTTTATATTTAGCGCACATTTCAGTAGTATTTGCTGTAATGATATACACAGTTGCTAAACTATCAAATATGTTCTTGATGCTAATTACCATAGAAGTTTGTTTCTCATTCTTATACATATGGACAGTTCCCTCGATCCTATGGTTTACATCAATATACTGTTAAGATTTGCTGGATAACGCTGTCAATGAAATAATAGGTAAAGTTATTAATATTTTTATTACTGCCAAAATTGATAAAATTGAATTATTCATTTACATAATTAAATAATAATTTCTAAACAATTTTGCAATGATAGAATAAATTATTATGAATATTTATACCTAGGTAAACAAGAATCAAACAAAACGATAAATATCGTTAAATACAAGAATCTGTTTACAAGTATTAGCAAAATAATTAGTCAACTTAATCGTGACTTAAACCATATAATTACGATTAACATCGTATCCATCATATATGGGATTATGCTGTGCGTGGACGGCATGTTTAGGAGGGGTGACATCAAATTTTTGCAGTCCTTTCGGGAGGTCATTATCCTGGTGTCCATAACCTATGTCGCTGAACTGGTCATTACGTGCGGTATTTGTGGGTCAGTCCAACAAAAGGCTGACGATTTGTTTGACGTTTTGGATGACATGGCTGTCAGTGCTATGAATGATAGGGATTACCGCGAGTTGTGTTTGTTTAGCGTTATTCTCGGCAAACGTAACATTGGGTTCACAATCGGACGGTTAGCTAAACTCAATAATAATACACTTATTTCGGTAATTATATTTTCTTAATATGTTAATTAATAGTTTGTATAATTTGTAGCATTTTTATCCCAAACAGATATTCATATTTATCTTGAATTACACTATTATTCTAATGCAGACATCAAATAAATAAAATTTACAATAATTCAGTTAATATATAAATTATTATACTATAATATAAATATTATAACTAGCAAATACCAAGATGTTCAAAAATAAAACAAAATATAAAATTAACTTATTTGTATATATTAAATAATATCCATTAAATGAAATTAATGTCTAATGTCAGTAACTTTAAATAAAATAATGTATTATGATGAAAATGTTAACAAAATATTATTTGTTGCCATCGATACTTATTAATAGATTTTTGGTGCACTTATAGCTATTACAACAGTAGTAATGTATTTACATTCAATGTTCAGCAAACAAATTATAATATTATTATACTTATAAAAGCAATTAATATTTCATTTATAATTTTATATTAAATACGAATTAAATTAAAATGTTTTTAATGTATTGTAATAATAAACATTTTATTTAACAAAGCGAGTATGTTTAATTGTATAACTATAACTAAATGAGTCAAAAATTATTAGCACACAAACAGTGCCTGATATGTGGCTATAGAGAAAAAGGTATATATATATTTTCATCATAAAAATACAAATGTTTACGAAATAAAATAATAATTATTTTTATAAAATTGTACATGGTACATATTTAGGCAAAAACTTGAATGCCTTAGCATGTCCATCATGTCAGGAATTTATTCAACGCAATGCTCATAAATACCAGGTTTGAATACAGAAATACTACTTTTGGTTTATTCGTGAATATAAATAAAAATATTCACATTATATAAATTATATAATTATTTTATTTTTTCAAAAAAGACTGCAAAATGCTATTTCAATAATAACTGCCAAATAAATGTGATGACCCGTAGATTTTGCGTTAAGTGCCGACTCGACAAATGCTATGCAATCGGAATGAGAAGTGTTTGTAACTTATTATAATAATTATCATGTCAATTTTAATACAGTATATACAATATATATTATATCTCTCATACTTTGACATAATTTATACATTTAACAGGAACATAAATTGTCTAATGATAATAAACTGAGAAAAACTGATAATGATCAGGATACACCAGTAAACAATAATGGAAACGATAGACACAATACTACTAAATACAAATTGATGATCAGATTCCCAGACATAGACCACAGAATTATCACATCCCTGACCAAGCTCACCACTAATTACACCAATGACTACCACATAGACACCTCCCATACAATAGCCATAGATCTCTCAGACCTCATGAGTAATACCATCCATGAAGACAATTATTTCCATATAAGAGGTCTCTTGAGACGTGTTAACCCAACAAATACATGGGTTTCGGTGACACCAATACATCGACGACTTACTCAATATAAGACTGTAGACATGAATAACGAGATGAATTTAGATGATAATAATTCAGACATTGGCAGCACTCATATAATAGCCATTGGGGAGCAGTTTGACATTAAACCCATACCTGAGGGTCAGTACGCCTCAAACATACCTGTCCATCGAGCGTTTATAGACTCAAACATTAAACTACAGTTGCTATTATCGGCCACACATGTCGACGCCCGGACTATTAATTATATTTTGTTTATAGTTAACAGCAATCATTGTGTTTAACCCAAATCGACCTAATCTATTATTTATGGATATTTTTTTAATGTGGGTCTATAAATGTTGATCATTAATTTTGTTACAATTTTATTTTTATTATTGTACCGTATATAAAAAATTTATTGTACATGCATCAATTGTAAATTTTTTTAAATAAATGTTTTGTTTGCACTGTTAATACTATTCTGGCGAACATTTATTCAACAAATACATTAATTGTCTATAAGTTTTTATTCAACTAAATAAACATAGACTACCGTATTTAATTTTATTTAATTAATTAAAATTATTTTTTAATAAATGTACTGTTCAAAATGTATTATTTATTCTTGGTTATTCATAAAACTATTGTCACTATCTAAAGGTTGAGGTCTAAATTAAGGGCAACTCTCAGCTACTTTTGATCATAACTGAAGGGAATGCCGGCGACAGTATGCCCGCCATCGACCACCAAATTAGTACCGGTTATAAACGCCGCCTCCGGTGCTGCCAAATAGAGTACGGCTGACGCGATGTCGTCGGGTGTACCGCACTTTCCCGCCGGCAATACTTTAGGCATACCTACGATTAGTCTGTTAACATCTACCCTTAACTCCTTCATAAAATTAGTAGGGATTGCACCAGGGCTATTTCATAGAAATACAAAATTATTGTTTAGATAATACAATATTTAAACATACTTAACGCTATTAACCCGGATCCGTTTGGGTCCCAACTCAACAGCCATACATTTAGTGAACATATCGGTCGCTACTTTTGACATGCAATACACTGAATCCTTAGGGCCCTGATCATTTATTATGTATTTGATTGCATTTAACTATACTTTATACAAATTTTTAAAATACTATAGTTACCGCTTGGGTACTTCTAATACTGGATATATTGACAATAGTACCCTGGCTCTTTTCCAAGTGCTCCACACATGTGTGGGTCATAAATACGTACGAATCCAAGTTTGTTTGCCTTAGTTTTCGAAAGGCATCCATATATAAGGGCTCAGTAATGGCGGTCCGTTTACTAGTACCGGCACAGTTGACCAGTATATCTATTTTGCCAAATGTGTCGACAGTCATGGCCACCAGTGCTCGCATGTCTGCCTCTCGGGTGACATCTGCGGCCATTTCCAGCACTTTTACGCCCAGACTTCGGCACCGGTTGGCTACCGATGATAAGTCGTTGTCGGCGTACAGTCCGGTCACCACAACATCTGCGCCCGCTTTGGCAAACTGTACGGCTGTAGCGGCACCTATACCCGAGCTCGACCCGGTGACCAGGGCTACTTTTCCCTTAAAGTTAAATTCAATAGACATTTTAGAATAGAAGTTTAAATTGTTTAACTTCTAAATAATTAATTGAGTAATATTAGAGGTACTGTATTGAATATAAAATGTTTGTTTGTTTTATATATAAAATGTTCAAGTCATATTAGTTCTGAAACATACTGAATTTGGTGTTGCCACCCAGAACTTGCAATATCATATCTATACAGTTGTGCTGATTTTACCATGATTCGTTTATATTGTTTTAGCCATAATAAAATGTCCCAATTAAAAATAGAACTTTTTAAAAAGTTTTAGTTCTTAATTGTTTGACCC